GCCAACCGGAATTAACTCGGGATGACTTTTTTTTAAAAAAAAAAAAGAAAATTCGCATATTCAAATATCTAAAAACCGGAAGATGTATGCAATAATCTCCAATTCCAACGATGGAAAGGTCTAGATGTTCTTTTATTCTATTTCCGGCTAGTCAAACATTTAATGGATTTTGTTAACCATATGTAGTTATCAATTCGTTAGATTAAAATTTTTTTTGTCAAAGAATACACTTCTCTTGTTGCTCCAATTTAAAATTGGGACACTTTGGAAATTGAGACATGCAAATCCCCAATTTAAAATTAGGGTAATAGACAACTTGAGGTATGACTATTCAAAGATCAAAGCCACAATTGATCATGTGATTTTATTATAGAGATACCCCAGTTTGAAATTTCAAGTTGGACTGAAATTTTCATATGGATTTGCCTCAATTTAAAGTTCAGATCGCAACACTTTAATCTTTAAATACTTCCGAAATTTTAGAGCTATCATCTATAAACGTCGGGCATCCTTAACCTACAACGGAGGTGTAGATGTTTAACCTGCGCTGGGGGTGTACAATAAGTTTTAACAAATTTTATTGGATTAAAATTGATTTGTGTAATATTATATAATTTATATTATCTTTGTAAATAAAATTAATATTGTATTTACGCAACTGCTGCGATGAGAACATAAAATATTCGCAAACTTAAATTTCATATAAAATTCAAAAATTAGAACTTTTTTTTTTTATTACAGTATAATAATTATTTAATCGTTATATACATATGCGCCAAAATCTGCACTGTTTTTCATAATTTCTCTTGCTTCTTCTAATGATAAATTTCCATTAAAATCTTGAACTATTAGTCTAATAATACCTCTGGAACTAATATTTCATGTAAATAATCAATTGGTTTTAAAGGTTTGCTTATTTCAAATGTTAAAATATTTGTTTTTAAAAACAAATTTGTCAAAACTTCCGTGATGATTATTTCACCTTTAGAACCACAATATCCTGGCTGTAAAAATAAAAAATAAATATAAATTTAATAAACAAATGTATTAAAATATATTATAAAAAAATATATTTATAAAATTAAACCTTACTCTTAATTCTTCACTTCTTTTCATTATCATCATTGATGTATTTGCTTTTCGAAATCCAATTTCATTATAAACAGATAATGAAAAACCAACTTGCTAATTTACAATTAATAATATCTAACAAATCATCTTGAATATTACTAACCCGATTTGATAAAATTTCAAAATTGATATTTGTTGGATAACCCGCCTCTATACCTAATGAAATAATTTTTGTTTCTGCATAATACATAAAACAAAACTCTGCACGATCGACTTCTAATATTTTTTCTAAAGAAATCAAAATATTTTAATATAATCAATATTATTATTATAGAAATAAATTAAATATAAAATTTACTTTTTTTTTGCAATATTTTTAAATATTCAAGTAATTTTTTCGGTAAAGGATTAGGTAAAGGTTGATTACAAAAAAGACATGATAATTCATCTAAAAGTATAAAAAAAGAATTATTAATATCATTATATTTAAAATTCATAAGTTTTACAAAATAAACATACCTTTTTTTTTATTTTTAGCATTTATATCTTCTATTTCCATATTCATTAATTCAGTTACGGATATCTGTGGTAAATTTTGAAATACTTCATATGTTGGACTCAGCATATTAAATGTATGATCATCCTTTTGATAATTTGTAATATTTTCTTTTTCTTGTACTGATAAACCACTACCACTACCACTAGCAATTGAATTTTTTTGCTTTTATTTAATAAATTTTTTGTTGAATTTTTTTTCCTTAATTAAAATTTTTTAAAATTAATATAATAATAAAATATTATAATATCAATAAACTAAAAAAATATCAATTATAAATACCTTTTTTTTTTAAAATTATTATTTTTTTAGGATTATTGATTATACTTTTGTAAAAAGTATTCTCTTTTGTTTGACAAGTTTGATGAATAATTTTTAATTTATTTTCCAATAAAGTATTATTTGTAAAATAAAATTCTTTGAATAATTCTGGATACTTTTTTATCAAACTTTTTATTTCATAAAAATTTTTTGTTAATAAATATTCATAGTCTTCAACAATTTCTATTTCTGAGGAACCTAAATGATTTGTTATATAATTACCACAAAACAAATTAGATTGTTGTGTTAAAATAAGATTATTTGGATCTTTTTGCTAGCATTGATAAAATAGTGAATTTGGCAATTTATTTAAATTCATTTGTGTTGTTATACAAAATATATGCTGACATATAATTTCAGAAAAAGTTGTATATTTGCATAAACACAAAAACAATTATTATTATTAATTGTATTATACTTTTCTTCCAGATTTGTAATTATTATTAAATCGATGAACATGAAATAATTGAATATTTTGAGTTCTAAATAATTAAAAATAAATTAAATTAAATTAAATAAATTTTATAAAAATAAAAATACATTATAATTAAAATACCTTAAATTAAACAATTCTAACAAGAATAATTAAATGCTTATAATAATTGCTCCTATGTTAACTTTAATGCATAACTTGTTAATATTTCTGCTGCTTGATATTCAAATAGACTTATTATTTTTAAAATAACATTAAATTAATTTTACTGATATTTAAATAATTGTAAATCAATATCATATTATTCTAGTGCAAATTCAAAAGCTTTTAAAAAATCCAAAAGTGAATTGGTTGCATTCATATAATTTTTTCATTAGATTATTCATTGATTTTCTATATACTGTGTACTTGTTATATCTGCTAAAAATATATTTCTATTAAAATAAGATGCTTATTTTTCTTTTACTTTATCCATTCTTTTTAAATTTGCTTTACAATCTGAAAAGTCTATTTAAAGTTATTTCCATTTGATTATAAAATTATCAACTTCATATTCTTTTGTACATTCATAAAATGCTTTTGTAAAATTATGCCAATTTGTTTTTAATATACTATATAAATTTTTGATTACATTTTTCCAAAGATGTTATATACATAATACATGTTTTTAACAGTAGTTCTGAGGTCTAGAGTCTTTAAGAAAAATGAAATATAATAAAAAAAAGAAATATTTTAAAATGAAATAAGATGAATCAATAGAATAAAAGAATAATTAATGAAATAAGATAACAAAGAATTTGAAATGAAAAAAAAAGATAAATGAAAAAAAAGGAATAATTATTAAAATAAGAAGAAAAAGAATATTTGAAAAGAATTAAAAAAAGAAAAAAGTGAAAATGAAATTAAAAATTATGAAAATAATGAAGAGAAAGAATAATAAAAAATATTAAGAATATAAAGAATAATAAGAAAAAAGAAAAAACATTAGAAAAAGTTAAAAAAAAATTATAACTATAAGAAATATTTATGAAAAAAATGAAGAATGATTCTTAGACAAATAAAAATTAATTTATAAAATATATTTTTTTAATAATAAGTAGTAGAAATATTTTAAGCAGATACAGTTTATTTTAAAGCTATTGAATTCATAAAATGTCATATATTTGAAAAATATAGAATTTGATAATTATAATATGATTATTTTTATTTAATTACTATTAAATTTTTTGAAAATGAAATATTATTTAAAGAAAGTATTCAATATATTTATTTAAATTAAAAATAAAATTAATCATTTATTAAATATATAAAAAAATAAAAGAGTAGAATTTAATAGATTATTATTTATAATATATTAATAAAATTTTTTTTAGAAATATAATAAAAAAATTTCTTATATATAAAAATTGATTGTAATAAAATCTTAAATTTATTAATATTATTTTAAGTTTTATATTTATTACATGATATTAGACTAATTTGATTTAATATTAAATATCATTTATAATTTAGACTGGTTTATTTAATTTCAAAAAATTTTTAATATTAAATTATAAATTAAACTGATATTTTTTAATAATATTAAATTTTCTAAAAAGTATTTGTTGATTAGATTTTTATAATATTATATTTTATTTATTATAAATTATATAAAAATTAAATATTTTTTACATTTATATAAGTAAAATAAAAAAAAAGCAAATAGAATTAATAAAGTTTAATTTTTTTATAAATTATTAATACTTTAATTAAATAAACAAGTATATTCTAAAAATTAATAAAAAGGTATATTTTATTTAACTAGCTTTTAAAAAAAATATATCATAATATTAATTAATTTTAAACTTTATAAAAATTTAAAGTTAAAGTAAATTAGAATTTCAAATAGGTCAGTTCAGATTAAGTTAATCAAATTACCTAAACTGAGAGAATTAGGTCAGGTCAAACAAAAATCTAACCTAGTTTAAATTTTCACTTGATTTGATTTAATTGATAAAAATATCATTTAAAAATGATAATAAATTATTTTAATCAAATGATAAAATATCATTTAAAAATATAATTCACTTTTACTATAATAAATCTTATAAGCTAAAAATTAAAATTCATTATAATAAGAAAATTCATTATAGTATATAACAAATAAAAATAAGATTTTTACTATATCAAAAATAATATAATCATATGACAATTTATTAATTTGTTTACTAATAAAAAAAATTAAAACCAATTAGTAAAAGATAATGAAAATGTTTTTTGTTATTTATTATTATAAATTCATATACAAATACTTTTTAGATTTTGTTACTTAATAACTATTACTTTATTGAATATGATACAAATGTGATACTATATTATGTACATCATTTATAAAAGCTATTCTGATCAATTTGATATTTAATAAAACTTTGATCATCTTTATAATTATAAAAATCAAACTCATTTAAATACAATTTAAAATTTTTAATATTAATAATATTATTTATACCTTTCCTTTTCTTATTTATAGTATTATCAATTGAGTCAATATAAGTATTATTAGGCTTAAGATTATTATCTTTATCTGCAATAAATAAATCTAAACTTGTTTGCTTTTTAGAAAAAAATTGTTTCTATAAACTATTTTTTAACTTTTTTCATTAGCTTTAGTGAGTCTTTATCAAAATTATCTTGACCATCATTTTGTTCTACAAAGTTAAAAATTGTATTAAATATAGCTAAAACCTTAGAACTTATAACTGGAATAATACTCTTATAATCTTTTTCATCAGAAATGGTATTATTTTCCTTAAAAATAGCAACAATTTATTCTTCAGATAATAACATACTATTAAATTCATTCTCATAATTTAATCTAATAAATTCTTTAGTAGTAAGAGAATACATATATTTGAATTTATTGATTAAATCTTATATTTCTCTACATTCATTCTTTTCTATCTTTTTATGCTTATTCTCTTTTATTTCATTATAAAAACTTGTATCATTCAGCAAAATTTCTGTTTTATTTTAGCAGTTAAATATAGTTTGAGAAAAGATTTTATTCTAAGTTAATACCATATATTTAATAATCTTTTTGATATTGATAAGAAGTTTACTATTGCCCGTTTCTAAGTAAAAATCAAAGGCTTTAATATGATTTTAAAGAAGCAATTTTTGGTATTGTATTTACAAAATTAAATAATATAAGTTAAATTTCTTAAATATTAAAATTAAATTGAAATCTTAGCATCTTAAAGTTATTTATAATACTCTTATCATATAGTTGTAAATGTGCAATTATATTAAAAGACAAAAATTTAATTTTTTATATTAATTAATTTCACATCTTTATATAAAGCATGAATGGATGTATTATCTACAAGAAGAAGAAGATTTCTTTCTTTTAATCTTATT